TTTTTTTTTTTTGGAACCTGGACCGAACCGCGGCCCTTGCGGTTCGGTCCAACGGATCGGCCCGAATATGGCCGGTTACGGGCCGGTCCGGGCCTGTTCGGTACCGGTTCGCGGTCCGGGCCACGGGCCGGTTCGGCCCGTGACCATGTCTACGCGTGTGGGTCGTGATTTCGGCATTAAGGTTTATGATTTTTAACCTAAGCGTATATATATATATATATATTTTGTCCTTCCTTTCTCTCGGCATCATAGAACCACGCAGCTTTTTTTTTCCCTCATCAGATTCCTTTTATTTTCTCTTCGATCGTGCAAGCAGAGAAATCGATTCCAACCCTCATCGTCTTCATCCCTCTCACCATCATCATCAAATTCTGATCGCCATCCTCTGAACCCAACTCCCATCGCCATCATCCTCTCGCGAGGAACCAGAACCGCAGGCCCTTTTTCCGGCGAATTCAGCGGCTCCGTCATCGAGCAGCGCTCCAATCACCCTCCTCCGCCATCTTCATCCCCTGTCGCGACCAGATGCCGCGGCCAGCAGCGAGTAAACGCCGGCGACCCCCTGCGCAAATTTTTGTCGAGACACTGCTGCTCCTCCGCCACGAACAGAAGCAGACCCGTCGCCGTCTCTCCCTCATTTTCTGATCGCCACCGGCGCCCCTGAAGGTCGTCATCGTCACCCCTCCGCGACCACCTCCTTCCCTGCGAGCTCTTCCTCTTCCGGCGACCAACCCCCAGCAGCAACACCACAAGCAGCCGCCCCGACGAGCCTCCTCAGCCTTTGCCGTCACGAACAGGCCGTTGCTCTGCCACTCAGGCCGTTTCGGTGCCACCTCGAGCCGCTGTTCGCCGCCGGCAACCGCAGCTCCTCCTCCATGAGCCAGGCCTGTTCGCGAGCAGCCACCGTTCCCGAGTCGCTGCCCTCTTTTTTTTTCGGCGAGACGCGTGAAGCCGAGCGCAACCGTCGAGCCCGTGAGCCGCTGCCCTCCCCTCGCGAGACGAAGCTTGGCGTCGAGCCCATTCGAACCCTTCTTGCTCGTTTTCCCGAGAACGGTATCGAGTCTCAACTCTTCGTTTATTTATTTTGCGATTATATGACGTGTTGTTCGTAATTTATGTGTTTATGTGAAATGGGTGTTGAATGTGCTTCGTGAAGTCAAATACGTGCCTTAGTTGAATAATTGTGAAGATTTTATTATTTAATTGCAAATTGGATATCAAAGTGATTGCCGTCACTTTGAATTATTGTTGAGCTGAGTTTACTGTGGTGCTTTTTGTGGAAATCCTGGAGTTATAGGTACTTGGAGTTGTCTTTGATCTATTAGTTTTGGTTTGAGGTCGTTTCGAGTTATATGTAGAGAGATATGATTTTTCTAAACCGAGCATGCTGCTGAACCGTAATAAATTCACCAAAAATCGAGTTGTTATCTGTTTGAGCCGATTTTTTGATATGTTGTGCCTCTGAGTATGTGGAATATGTGTGCCAAGCCCCTGATTTTATCTTTGAGTTTTTGGTGTTCAAATGCTTAAAACGGGTTCTGGTCAGAAACTTGTAAAATTCACTAAAAAATCGTACACTTGGAGTTTTGAGCTGAAACTTTCAGGAACCTATTATTCTGTGATTTTTTAGGTTGTGTATAAATTTCAAATTAAAATTCGAAGTGTAGCTTTGTGAACTATTAAATGCTGATTTTGGTGCTGTTTTTGCTTAAATCATTTAAAAATGTTCCCGGATGAATTTAGGGCTGAAACTTGGTGAGTTTATGTGTTTTTGCATGTTTTATAATGTGGTAAAGTTTCATGTTGATTGGCGGAGCCTAACTCCTGATTCTGAATTTAGTTTATTTTGGAGTCTAAATGTTCGGTTATCGATTGTTTAGGTTAAGATTGTATTTTATTGATGTTGGCATGATTTATGTGTATTATATGAAGTATTTGAGTTGTGTCCAGGTTTGGTAGTCACTCCATAGTACCTAACTCCGTCAAGGAATCCACGAGTCACTTAGTCGATATGATTTCGGCTAAGTATATGTGCCTTGCGTGTTGTTTTGAATTGGGCAGTCAGTGATAGGTCATTATAAATTGTTGTAGGTCCTTCGAGCTGAACTATTGCCACATTTCCTTCACTTTGTGATTGGCTATACCTCTACATCCAAGTGGGTTTTATTTGAAAAATTTCTATGCATTAATTAATTGTTATTGTTGTGCTATGATCAAAGTATGCATGTGAACCATGTAGCCTTCGATGTGAGCTATATTGGCCATCGAACGGTTATCCCCGTAGCTATAGAACGTACCCGATGGGGTGTCTCCTTTATTTATGTATGGCAGTCAGGGCGTGAGCCTTGGCTGGTCATCCTCGATGTAAGTCCGAAGGGATGTTTCCGGGCATTCGGGGTGGATTTACTCCCACTGTCTGGGCATCGAATATAAGGCCCGCGGGGGATTTCGATACGTGTATCAGCAGTGGTCTATTGGTATAGGTGTGCACATGAGAGTTGACTCTGGGAAGGAGATGAGATATTAATTGATTTGTATTCATACTGCGACCATACCTGCTTTACTTTATGAAATTGAATATTAATTATTGCATAACGGTGAGCACCTCGATTTTCCTATTGTGCTCATCCCCACCTGCTCTTCATGGATGCATGTTAGTATTTGCGGGCACGACAGAGGGAGGTGAGTGGTGGTCATGTTATTGATTATTTCCGCTGCTTAAATTGTTTAATATGATCTATGCATTCCTGACTTGTGCTGAGTACTGGATTGTCGATAGGGAGTGTACTCCCTAGTATTTATGGATTGTCGATAGGCAGTGTACTCCCTAGTAATTATGGATTTGATGAACCCAGTTTTGGGAGTTGTTGTCATTTATGAACCCGGATTAGGTATTGACTATTTATGATTATTGAACCCGATTTGGGTGTTGATTATTTATGATTATTGAACTCGTTGGGAATTGCATATGTGATATTGTTGGAATCGTTTTTGGAAAATGAGTAGCGCCTCAAGCGTTTTGAAATAAATTTTGAAAATTTTATTCTAAATTTCGGCAAATAAAAGTGGGGCGTTACAGTGGTGGTCAAGATGACCATTTTTCAGTTTGATATGATAAGTATGTGAATTTATAAAATTCTTTGAAGTTAGGCGTAAAATTAGAACAATTATATGTTATTTTAATATTTGAGTAGATTGAGCTATTGAAGTGCTTTTGAGCTAAAAATTGACTAGAGGGTATGTGGATATATTTACTATTTAACTGCCAAGTTTCATAATTTTTAGAGTTATATGTGATTTTTGAGAAAAGATATTTAGATATATTTGCTTGTATATGTTGGTAGTTGTTGAGAGTCGAGCCTCCAATAGCTACATCAGTTATTCAGTACTTGCAAAGTCTTTTCAACATATCAGGTGGGGGACCTGCAATGGGTATTACATTACTTATAATCTTGTACCATGTATGAGGTATGTATGTAGATAATTTACCCAAACGATGAAGTTATTCCGTTCGTGGTCCAGTTTAAGATGACTCGGTCTTGTATGGAAGTTTTTCCATCCTGAGTCACTCGCTCAGTCAAGACTGGGTTCTGTGGGAGACGACCCCCAGAATATAATCATGTAAGAACCGACTAGTTATCGGTAGTTGCATCAGTAAAGTTCAGAGCAGTTTTATTTATGTATATACTTAGTTCATGATATTGGATTATATGTGTTGTTTATTCAGTGTTGGTTTTTACGGAGCATAGTGGTTTTGCTCACGCCCTCATTATGTTTTGCAGGTGATGGAGTTCAGCATGGAGCGTGAGCCGAGCAGTGGTGTGGTGATGTTCGAATAAAGCTGGATATTTATTATGTTTGTGTTTAAGTTGGTTTGTATTAAACTATATACGACTCTATTGCGTTTCCGTACTGATAAACCAGAACCAGTAAGTATGTGTTATAATTATTCTATGTATACTTATTCCTTATTCATATTTTCCAGCTAGATTTTATATGATTACATTTAAGAGTAAACGAAAGAATGAGTAAGAAGTTAAGTTAGTAAGTAAGTAACATCCCGAAAAGTAGAGTTTTAGAATTTTCGAAAATAGTATTTTTCGAAAGAAATCGCGAAAATTAAACAGATTTTTTTTCATGTCATATAAGGCGGGGTGTTACAGCTTGTCCAGCAAGAAAACCACCTACCCACCAGCCATGGCCGGATTTTTTTTTTCTTCTGCCGATCGCGCATGTGACGTCGGTCGCCGGTGGAACTCGCCAGATTTCTTTTCTTCGGCCGATCGCGCAAGCCATGGCCGGCCCCTTCGCTGTCGTGTCCAATCACCTCCCGCCACTGGGTTTATCACATGCGGCCGAGCCGCGGCTTCCCCTACCAGCAGGCATCACCCGGAGCTCCCCAGCAGCTCGTCGCCGCCACCATGAGCAAAAGCCCGCCCGTCGGAGCTTCGAGGAGTCATCGGCCCTCCGCCTACACCCTCCGGTCGTCGCGCTTCGCGTGGCTGAGCACCTGGCAGTAAACCACCGTGTTCGCCATGCATGCGGACGTTCGGTCGCCGGCGTGGCCACGGCCTGATGTAGTGCCCCGTTCGTTTATGGAATAATTGGGATTTTATTTAATATTTTTCCATTATTATCATTATTTTTTATTAGTATTATTATTTTATTTTAAATGTCTAATTGTCTATTAAATGCTAAGATGTATTTTAATTATAAATGTGTAAAATATATTTTATTATAATAGTCGAATATTATTTTTATTTTAACTTTCGTGCGATCAACCGAGCTAGTTTTATTGTCGGATTAAATCGAGCCCGAGAACCCAGAATCGAGCCCTATTATTTTCATCCCTTTTTGTTCAAGTATTATCGGCCCGGAAAAGCCCTAATATTCTCGCCCAATAACCCGGACCGACCCAAATCTCTTTGGTGTGTCTTAAGGAACAAATAAAACCTAATCTATTAATTTGTACCCTAAACTCTCTCTCGATCAATCCGCCTGCAGCCTTCTCAATCTCTCTCTCCCTCTCGCTCTTTTTGCTCGTGGCAGACAGAAGGAAAATCTAATCGCCAATCATCACCATCTTCATCTCGCTGGTAACAGGTCACCACCCATTGCTCGTCGACCGTCGCTCTGCAAACCTCGACGTGAAGCAACGTCGACGACTCTCCATCGCGAACCGCTACTGCAACACTCCCCGTGCGCCGTCGCTCCTCCGCGCGCCTACAACTCCGGCGAGTTATCCCCGCGCTTTATCCTGTCGACGCCGCGTGATTCAGTCGTCCCTGTTCGTGAGCAGATCACCGTGAACCCCCGCAGCCCATTGCTCGGCACCCAACCGCGTTGCTACCTTTTCGGCGACCACCATGGCGAGCCCTCCTTCGCGAGTTCCTCCACCGCGAACTTCCGGCGAGCCGCTGCCCTCCGCGCGCAGGCTCTTTGCCGTGACCAGCACCTCCGTCTGCGACCGCCGGCAACACCATAGACACGCGAGTAAGAAACAGCCCCTGTTCGATTTTTCCTTTCGACTGCAGCCGTGCGTGGTCAGCAGGAATCCCCGTTCTCACGACCTTCGAGCATAGCAGCGGCACCTCGTTAGCTTTCTTTCCGAGCAATGGAAGCAGCCCCGTCGTCCGGCAGCGGACAGCCGACGACTCACGAGCAGCAGCGACGAACACTATTGTGGGGTTGAGCCGTCGAGCCCGAGTACCCCGCAGCTTTACCTAGCAGCAGCACCTCAGCGACGAGCAGCTCTTCCCTCGCGAGACGATGCGTGCTGTCGAGCATCAGCCTCGTGTTCGCCTCTTCGTGTTCGTTTCGTTTTCCGAGTTTTTCCCGAGAATGGTACCTCGTCGATTCCGTCTCGTTCAACTCGTATATGATTTATTTCGTTATATGTTTATTGTCGTGAAGTGCTCGTTGAACAATTTAATATACATATGAAATGCGAGACGTGAATATGTGCGATTATGTGTTTCGTTATGATTTTATGTGACGTATATGTATTCGAGACCTCTTCAATCTTTAAAGAATTAAACAAGACCCCGAAAGTCGTGTAAGTCGGCGAATATTGGAACAATGTCGAGCCCTTGGTCTTATGAAAAGGCCTCGGACGAGAATTTTCGTGTTTCGGATTAATTGTCAAAATTGTCGAGCTTTATTGTCGCTGTTTTGGTATTTGAATTTTTAAAAATAGCTCGCTGCTCGAAATGACTTGAAATTTTTAGGGTGATGTTCTCTGTTCAATACTAGCCTTGTGTAAAAATTTCGTGATTTTTAGAAGCCTATAGCTATTTTTAATAATTATAATGAAATCTGATCAGAGTAGTGTTAATTGCATAATAAATTCATTCGTAAACAAAATGAGCTGAACTTAGAGTATGTCATGCATCTGTGATGTTTATATGTTTTGTTAAATTTTTAGAATTTTTGGATATTATTTGATTTGGTTAATAAATTATTTATCGAATCTGCTGAAAATTGTTTGAATTTTTGTAAATCGGTTGTTTGATGAAAAATTCTGAAATTTTACTGAGATTCCTATTTTATGTGTAGAATAATTCTGTTAAAATATGGGAATTTTTGGAATCCATTTTGTTTCGGTTTTGATTTAAATTCAATGAACTGCTGAATCTCGTATAAATTTTTAAAAATAGTAGCAGTTAATGTTAAGGGCTGAGATTTTTATACATGGACTTTAGCATGCTGTATGTTGTTGTTTTAAATGTTCAAGTCCTGATTCGTTCATTAAGTTCAAGTATGAATTGATGTTCCCATTTTATTGATATATTGTTCGAATTTTATAAAATAATGTATTTCGAGTTTGAAGCTGAAAATTTGTGATTTTACATGTTTCTAGGAGATGTAATTTTTTGTAAAATTTTAGAGCTTAAGTCATAGGGTAGCCTGACCATCTATTTTCATGTGATTAATGATTACTATTTTCAAAACATGATTTTGAAATGAAAAGTCGGGAATCGACTTGCTTTTCGTTTTGATGTGAGTTTGACTTGGTCAATCCTTAGATGTATTTATGTGAACTCCCTTATGTGGTTTGGTCGAGTTTAGTGCCGAGTCTTAATGTTCCAACATCCACAGAACTTCACGAACAACTTAGTCGAATCAAGTTCGACTAGGTCTGTTTTGTGTTTTCCGTTTAAAGTCAAGATAGATGTTGATTGTAGCATCTTGACTCAATGTAGGTAATTGAGGAGTTCAACCTCGACCTACTTCCATTGCTTTGAGTTATTATCAATCCGAAATCCAGGTGGGTTGTTATTCAAAAATTATCTATGCATATGTTTGATTTTAATCATGTTGCAAATTTGGTGTGATCTATGTATGAAAATGAACATGTAGCCTATCGATGTGAGCTGTTACGGCCGTCAGTACGGTTGTCCCCGTCGAGTTACGGTACGGTGCCCTTGTGTGGCAATCTCCTTTAAGTCCTGATATGGTCGTGCCCTTGTGAGGTACGTAAGCCCATATGGAAGGCCGTGTCCGTTACAGTGGCACGTACTCCTGCCTTCGGGTAATGAATCCCCGTTCTGCGGCTAGCGATAGATGTGCACAGGAGTAAGGTTAAATGGTGTGATATTGATTAGGAGATGTGACATATGTGATATTGTTTATGTTCATGCTGCGACCATGCCTATTTAACATATTACTATATGTGCATTGCATAGTGTGAGTACGATATTTAACTGTACTCACTCCCATCTGCTCGTAACTGATGCAGGTTAAGCAGTGGCGCGTGACGAGACAAGACGGGCGGTGGTCATTGCTTCTTATGCTTATTTATTGCTTCCGCTTATTCATGAACTAAGTTGGTATTGAACTTGTTTGGATTGGATTTGGAACTGGTTCATTTTGGAAAACGTTTGGATTTGATTTATGTTGTTAAAACCCTTTTTGATATATGATTGATGTTTATGTTTAAGTTATGTGGTTAATGAAAATCGTTGGAAAATCGGGTAATGAATCCCCGTAGTTCAGTTATGACTTGAACTGTGGTTTTGAAAAGAATGAGTAACGCCAAAAGTTTATGATTCGAAAAATAAGTTTCGAAAATTTTACCTTGATTTTTGGAAAAGCCATGGATTTTCTTTAAAAATCGATTGGGGCGTTACACCTGAGCTCCTTCGGGTCGTCGAGGTTCGTGAATCTTCGTGATCTCCCAGTGATAAACAAACGATCACAATACAAGAAATATAAATTACAAAATTACATAATCCGATCCTAGAACCAATGAATGGCTATACATGTTTGTCTAAACAAATAATTAAATCTATCCGGTCAACCCTCGGACAAATAATTATTAGAAACATTCATCCATTAAATTCCTCGACATGTCCGAGGCCTTAATAACAAATTAAAACCATTAATCATATTCAACAACATTCATCAAACACATATACGACCATAATAGTGGATTAAACTAATTCCTACAAAACCGAGTTATGCGGATATAATCCAATATATATGGCTGCGTTTGAACACATCTTGTCATATAAAGCCGTAAAAATTCGAATTTTGTATAAAACAAATTAACCAAGGGCTCTGATACCACTTATTGGGATCTATGAGTATCTCATTATGTACAAGTCACGAATTCAATACCAAACGTAAGCCTATGCGCAGCGGATCTAAATGTTTGACGTAGGAAACTTACGGCTTAAAATTTTCTAAATCTGATGGATTTGGGATAACCAGGAGCAGCACGTCACGGGATGGCGGGATCACGCAAGTGGTGGAGATTGGCGGTCATGTGGCTGCGGTGGAGATCGGCGGTTCATCGGGGGTTCCGGCGTCATCGTCGTGGGGTCGCCGGTCGGCTGGGGTCGGCGGGTCATGGCTCGTCGGCTCCGGTAGATGATCGTGATGTCTCGGTTACCTTCGAGATCTTCTACTGTATTGCTTAAACACCTTTTCAACTCGTACTGGTGGAGCAACGAGAAGAAGATAAAGCTCAAATGGAATTCTAGAGAGAGAGAGAAGAGAGCGGCGTGTAATACATTAGAAGAGTACTGATCTCGTCTATGTCTAAACATTAGCTTAATGATGTATATATAGATATACAGTAGGTATCTTTAGGAGAATAGGACTAGGGCTTCTTAAGTATTGGACTAACTGTGGGCCAGACCCACTCCTGCAATTACTTAAATAATATTACGGTTCACTAACATAATATTATTGCACTCCCTTTTCCTATCCCAAATTACATTTGAGACTCCAATAATACTTACCCGAATTACCTCCCTATATTTAAGATATAATGTCCATTAATTAATTTGATCACTGATAATCAAGAATTAATTAATATATTATATTACCAAAGCTAGCGCTCGTTCATCACATTATTATTATGCCGAAACTTAATCCACCTGCAGGGTTTAGGATAAAAATCCTTCATGAACTCACTTCTGGGACATCATCAAGATAACGCACATGGTGACCGTAAATATCCTAACAGTACCATCATACATACAACAATATTACCCAAGACAGCAAGACTATTGATCCATCGAACTGAATCTCACCCAAGTGTATGAAAGTAATAAATACATCATGTATATGTCTGGTTAATATCTTACGGATTAAGAGAATGCAGTAATTAATCGAGGCCTAGTTCGTTTACGACGATCAGTATAAAACAAACTTCTCCTCTCTGGGATCCTGTTCAATTCATAAATTGTACCGTTGACACTACAACCGTTCTGATGGGGTTTCATTTTCATCTAGGTTGTGAACCAACAATTCTTGTTTCGCAAGTGACTGATAAAATGATCTTCTATTCACCCGTTAATTAACTATTTTATCTAAGTGCAAAACAATAGAACATAGAACTTGTTTAATCGAACATGATTCTCATTCATAAAAGAAAAAAGTGCAATATCATCCAACGCCAAGTTTTAACTATATAACACGAACAACAGTCTCCTTCTTAGCCTAAATAGAGGCCTTGTCGTAGGATGCAGTATCAACCTTCGACTTGTGCTCCCGTTGTTGGATGCGGTATTAATCTTCAGTGATTATATAAGTGTACACATGAGCATTATATGATATGATTGATTGAAGATGTGATAATTTTATTGATTCATGTCCATGCTGAGATTCTACTATCTGTTATTATACAGAATATATGTGCACGGTAATTCCCCACAGTGAGCTAGTGGTTTACTCACCCCCATTATTATTATCTTTTTCAGGTTGAGCTGATGGTCGTGGCTAAAGACGGACGAGTGTGGCCATTCGCTTATTTTATTATTATGAACTATGGTTGTTTTTTCTTCTGCTTGAATTTAGGTATTTTCAAAACTTATGATTGGTTTCGAACTTGATATGGGATATTATATGCCTAAAGGAATAAACCGGTTTACTACGCCGGTCGTACGAGCTTAATGCTGGAAAGACCACGCTGGTTGAGCAATAGCAGGTTGTAAGGTAGTGGTCGAATATCGCGACAGATGTGGTCGAAGATCGACCTATCATTGGATCGACCACCCCGCGAGTGAAGAGCAATCGGGAGCGCGATCCAGACGTGAGGAAGCGCAGGGCATCCTAGGAAATTTTCAAGAAATATTCAAGGGAATAATTACCCCATAAGCAGAGGACACGTGGTGAGGACATATTGGCGCGCAGTGATAGTGGCGAT